AATAATATATAATATATAACATATATACCCAAATATATTTTAGTTTTAGTTTTAGTAAGTGTTTTACGGCACTTGCAACACAATAAGATCATATAAGTGTCGATGATTAGAGGTGTTACGAGAGAGTAACAAACACAAAAAAAGATGAGGACGATAGATGTTTGATAGGAAAGAAGGAGCTAACCGCAACAGAGCACCCGCCAAACACGCACAGCCACATATATTTATGTTTTATATGATATGATATGACATTATATATATAATATGTAGGGGGAATCTCGTGACCTAAAGGTTAAGGTGCTTGCCTCTCATTCAAATGTCCCGGGTTCGAATTTTCTTCTCTAAAATTGTCTCCTTTCAGCTCCTTTTCTGCTCTCTAGCAATGTTCTATCGATTGCTCTCGTCTCCTCTTTCTGCCCCCACCTCTTCATTTTCTTTGCCCCCTCTTCTGGGCTCCTGACTCCTTCTGCAGCCTTTTTACTGCTACTCATTGACACCTTATTACTGCTGTCTTTCAGCCACACCCCTGATCTTCTGGTAGGAAAGATCTACACCAAGCCTTCCCGGACAAGGGCGAAAACTCTCGAATGGCCTGTGTGCAAGTTGCGCCCGTTAAAGATCCCTTGGTTTTTCTAAAATCGATAAGAGTAGGCTTCGGCCGCCACCCGGGCAAAATTCAAAATTTCCTCCCAACTGAAAAAGTTTAATGTGTCCCGTGCGCTCATATGACCTTATGCCGTTGCGAGCGCCGTAAAACACTGACAAAAAGTATATAAATGTAAATTAAATATATAGGTTTATCTTATGGATGACTACGGGTTTTTAGCCAGAAAAGATACATGTTTATCAAATAACGATCAATAAAAGTGATGGAAAAATTTGAGAAGGATCATATCACATGACGTGATAAAAATATCTACTTACTCAGAATACTAAACATTTTGTAAAGATGCAGAGAACTTCTGTCGTATAGATTAAACCAAGACATAATGGCATCATGTGTTCTCTATATTGAAGGCTATTCTGATCACAGTAGAGATCAAAATGTTTTAAATCGTTTTAAAAAGACATTAGGAGTGACATTAAGCTCAACGTGCACTGGGTGTGTCCGATTTTGTTTCTCCAAATAAATGGCAGTGCATCACTAGCAAATCGCTTTAAGTCTACAAATCTTTAAAAGATTTTTATCTAGGAGTATATAAAGTTACTAGCTGCCCAATGCAATTATCCCTTTCGAGTGGAGTTGAGATATAACTTGTGTGTATCTTTAAGGTGAGTTGAGTCCCCTCATTTTTCATTTTTGGAAAGCTTTACTGGCCCCAGTTCTTCGTGTAAGAGAGAAACCAACATTTGTGCGAGTATGGTCTTCCTTAGACAGACATTGAGTTGTGTGACACATGAAGAGTAATGAACGCTCAGACATGAAATGGGAAATCCTGGCGCAGGATGCACTGCCTCACACTCCATAGAAGGATATTGACTTTTAAGTGAATCTGATTCTATTGCATAATATTCTTTTCTTTTACTTTCATTCATATTCTACTTGAAAATAATTACAATAAGGCCTAAATCAATTTAAATGTTTTTCCTGACGTATTCTTAACATTCATGACCAATAAAATAATATAAAAAAGGTTTCCCCTTTAGAATTTATTGTTTAAGAGCTCTAAAAGTTTTCCATTCAAAACACCAGTTCCCATTTGTTACACAATATAATGGTTTGCGGTGAATTTGTCTTCTTTCTCCTTTTTTTCTAGACCACCACTTTCCACTGTTGGTCTCTGATATAATCCAAACACATTATGATAATAATATTCATATAACGCAAATTTGCACTCTTTCGTTGTCTTTGGCCGGGTGCCCACTCACACCTGGAAGAAGTGAGAAAAATCTGTATAAAATGCCTTTGCAAAGGAATTAACGTCTGCCCTGAGCCTGCAACCTCGTAACTACGAGTCTGGTGCTAGCCACTAGGCTACCGACGCCACTAAAAGACGTGTTAATCTTATATCTATATTTGTACATATTATGTAAGGTGAATTGCTTTTAGAGCAACGTCTACAACAACATTTGGGCCCATACGAACTTTTGCCTGGGTTTCTCTTTGTAAGAACACAGTGAACGGGGATAGATAAATGTTTTACCTCAAGTCAAATCAGGTGCAGTCAGAACAGGCAACAAACACTCTTTCAAAAACCTCATCTAAATACCAACACTGAATCTTTTGATGCAATTTCTGTTTAAAAAAATATATTTCTGCCCCAAAGACAAATTATTCGAGAAAACTGATAGGCCTATTCTCTATCCAAAGAAATTTTCTAAATATCCATGGTATTCTTATAATCACGCTTCATAGATCTATCAATTTAGTGTCTGTCACTTCGACGAGCTGTCGTCACTTTTAGTGAAGAAGGACACACACAAAGACTTGCCAAGTCGTCCCCACAGAGTTCGCGCAGGAACCTTACCTTCGTGTTGTCTGACTAAAAATGCACGTTATTACATTAGATCTAAAGTTCCGGTGCTGGGGTTCTTTTGTTCCAAGCACGGAGACCTGAGTGTCGGTCGTTACAAACTCGGCTCTGCTTTATTAGTTTAAAAAACCCAAGAAAATTCATCTAAGAGATGAATAGTCTGATACATCTAATTCGCACGCTTGAGTCATGGTGTATTGTCAAAGCCTATCTATCTATCTATCTATCTATCTATCTATCTATCTATCTATCTATCTATCTATTGACAAGTGGACTATTAATGTCCCCATATGGTATGAAGACTTCTGCAAACCAAATTGCTTCGGACATATTCCAATTAAAGGAATGTCAAATATCTTTTGAAAGCATTGTAAAGAGCTTAATATTTTCACAACAGAAGTTACGACATTACGTCCAGACATCTAAACATAAGAAATCCTTTCTTTCTACTCAGCTCCTTTGGCCATGGGGGTCCAACGTATTTTTCAAGTTTTCACTGCTGTGCTACTTGTGATTGCCTCCCTGGCAGATAAGAACCTACCCTCAGCACAAACACCAACACCAGCTCACCAACCTTCTTATGGCCACCCTTTCGACCCATACCAAACAAATACGTACCAAGTAGCTCACTCAGGTGCACAGGATTACCAATCTCAATTCTCTGGGTATGGACAGCAGCAATACGGACCACAGTCTGCTCCTTCTGGGTACTCTCAGTTTGAACAGACATACGGGACATCAGCATCACAGCAGAATACTTACGGGAATCCACAACAAGCCTACGCTCAACAGCAAGCACCATACGATGGCGCCTCAGCAGATCCATACTCCGTATACGGCCAGCAACAAGGTTATGAAACCCAGCAGCATCAAGGGTACCAACAACAGCAGCCATCATACGGTACAGCCACGGCCCCAGCTACAGCGACACACTCTCCATACAGCCCAGGCCCAGCCGTGCAGATCCCATACGAACAGCAGCAATACGGCCAAGTAGCAGACCCATACGCCGTGCATGGACAGGAGTTTGTCTATACACAGGACCAAACGGGATACGCACCAGTACTTGATCCATTCTTTCAGTACCAACAAGACGTCTACGGACAACCGCAGGAACAGGTGTATTCACAACAACAGCAAGCGTCATATGGCACAGCTCCTGCACCAGCCCCTGTACCTGCACCTGCACCAGCCCCTGCACCTGCACCTGCACCAGCCCCAGCCCCCGCACCTGCGCCTGCACCAGCTCCTGCTCCAGCCCCTGCACCAGCTCCTGCACCAGCTCCTGCACCTGCACCAGCCCCAGCCCCTGCACCTGCACCAGCCCCAGCCCCCGCACCTGCACCTGCACCAGCCCCGGCCCCAGCACCTGGCCCTCAGACTTACCAGGGTTTTCAGCCAACTCAACAACAAAACTTGCTCCCAACATACAATTCCCCGCTAGACCCCAGATTCACCTACGGCAATCAGCTGCCTAGCAGCAACGTTGACTCATACCGACCTGGTCCTGAGGCCGTGGGTTACTACCAGTTCTATGACAATTTCTTCTATGGGCAACAGCCAGTCCCAGCCCCAATCCCAGACCCGGCTCCGGCCGAAGCCCCGGCTCCAGCCCCAGCTCCGACCCCAGTCCCTGCCCCTGCTCCAGCACCAGTTCCAGCCCCGGCTCCAGCCCCGGTTCCATCCCCGGCTCCAGCACCGGTTCCAGCCCCAGCCCCAGCCCCAGTCCCAGCCCCTGCTCCAGCACCGGTTCCAGCCCCAGCCCCAGCACCGGTTCCAGCCCCGGCTCCAGCACCGGTTCCTGCTCCGGCCCCAGTCCCAGCCCCGGCTCCAGCCCCGGCTGTGAACCCCGTCCACCCGTACCCATACATTCCCCTGTATTACCCATTCCCAGGCCAGGTTGCTCCTTCTTACGGACGACCAGAAACCACTCCCAGCCCTACCACCACCACTTCTACAACAACAACAACAACCAAAAAAGCTCCTCGAAGATACTTCCCGAGACCACAATACTACCAGCCAACCTATTTCCAATCCAATTTTCCAGTTTACGCACCAGTAAGAGCCCCAGCCCCAGCTCCAGTCCCAGCCCCAATCCCAGCCCCAGCCCCGGCCCCAGCCCCAGCCCCAGCCCCAGCCCCAGCCCCAGCCCCAGCCCCAGCCCCAGCCCCAGCCCCAGCCCCAGCCCCAGCCTATCCTTTTGGTAGCTACGGCTCTTACGCCTCTCGCGTGCCGCCAGCTGTAGCACCAGCCCCGCAGGAGCCAGCTCGTTCCACCACAACAAGACGTAAGTTTGGACGATTGTGATGAAAAAAATATGTTGCCTAAGTTGTAACAGTAACTGTAACAAGGGCGTACTAGACCGTAAGGCTTGCGGTCGAAAAACTGATTGTGAATCCTGGCTCATCCCAACAGAAGGTTGCACTTTGGGAAAGGTTTATTTCGTTTTTTTAGGTCGCAAAGAAGGGCACTCCACCCTTCTGTCTTTGTCCTGGGAGTGCTATTCTACCTCCAGCCAGCTGTGCCCCGTATATGCATTTCGTTCTCAGGTAGATTTCGGTCTTCCTCTTTTCCTCCTCCCCTGGAAATTCCATCTTAAACATTGTCTTGTCACATTGTTTGCTGACTTTCTAAACGTGTGCTCGTCCATCACCATCTTCTTTTCTTGATCTCTTTGGCAATTGGTTATTGTTTTATTCTCCTTCAGAATGTCACTTTTCTAATGATTTATGGCTAGTCGATTTTCATGACCTTCCTCAGGCAACCATTGGTGAAGGACTGTAATTTGTTTACTGTTGTTGATTTCCTTATCCAGTGTATGGTGAGCAGGAAAAGGAACGGTGACAGTTAACATCCGTGTTTTACTCGAAGCTTCAAGAGAACTGACCGTCATGGGCAAATCTGCATTTTGACCCCCCATAGTAGTTCTGTATCAACCTCACCACCTTAAATGGTAATTTCATATTGTCGCAGTACTTTCCATAGTGCTGTGCGCCTGTCGCTGTCGATTGCTTTCTCATAGTATTCTACAAAAGTGACAAAACAGGTGGAGTCCCATTCCAGATATTGCTTTACAATAATTTTTAAGGCCCCATCTAGTCGAAACATAAACGGTTTTGTCTGAATCCTGCTAGGTGTACGCACACAACTTCTTTCATGTGCTCCGGAAGAACCCTGTTGAATATAATTTTGCCTTCGCTACGACTTCAATTTTGTCTTGACTGAGCCTCAGATTTACTCCGTTGTTCTGTTTGCCAACTTTAAAAAAGGATAAATACTTAAGCCTGCTGCACCCCTTGCCCCCATTTACGCTTTTAATGTTACTTCACTAAGAGTATGGATACCCTGATATAAATAATATAAGTACAGGAAGCAAACACCAAATCGTAAGTATTTCTCCTGAACATGATATGGAATCCTTTAACAAACGATGTTGAGCATTATTTTTGTTGGCTTTTCTTACCCGTTTTCTTTTTTGTTTTTTCTTTGGCCCTTTTCTCATTTTCGTTTATTGACAGCTTAAAATAAAGGTGCCTAAACGAATTCAACTGTATGAAACAAAGAAAAATATTTTCTAATGTCTTCCAGCATGCTTCCTGAAGCCGGACCCTCAGAACCAGAACGGCTACATGTCTGGCAACGTCGCCATGATCTGCCCCGCTAACCTGATCTTTAATCCTGAGCGTTGTATGTGCGACTGGGACCCGTAAGTCGTCATCATCATCATCATCATCATCATCATCATCATCATCATCATCATCATCATCATCATCAATGCTTTTTACCAGAATCTGCGGTGTAGCAGGTAGGCAGTTCGCTGTCGCACACAGAAGGCATAAGTTCAATTCCTGAATGGGAAGAATTTTTATCGAGTAGCTCCGTTTTTCTGCTGGGACGTAAAACCCCTCCCAGTCCGGGCTGGTCCCGAAAGGCACGGTCGAACATGTCAACTTCTCAAATGATCTAAGTTGTGTCTAACACTTCTTTGTTTTGTTCATAGTTTTTAATATACCTCCCCAGACCCATAGAAATTTCTGAACACCATTTAAATATTTCCTCGTACCAAGTGCTATGTGATTCATCAGCATTTGGCGCTGAAAAGAAAGGGTGCGGACCAAACACGCAAATAAATGTTTGGTTCTAATAATAATATTAAGCAAAAATTCTAAATTAATGGGACATCATTATCACATTTTTAGTATCCTTAACTAATTTTGTTTTATGAAAAGAAGAATGAATGTCAGCATGAACACGACATCTTAAATGAGAATCAGGGGCGATATAGTAGAAAGCATGCTTATGAACCAGATCATAATTGGTTGAGATCTTAAGAGTACAGGGTAAAGAATTGTTGCAATAGTGTTTTCTACACTGCTGATGACTGGTTTGAATCTCCAAGGGGATTGTCACGAATATATGTTGTTTGGGGAATTTTCAAGACTCTCCACCCTCTTGGCACAATCATTTCACCTCGGTTTTCACAAGCAGCAAAAAAGTGAACACTAAATTGAAAAATTCTCCTTCGACAGATATAAGTAATATTTATATGTTTTCGGGTGATTCAACTGGCAACACACACACACACACACACACACACACACACACACACACACACACACACACACACACACACACACACACACACACACACACACACACACACACACACACACACACACACACACACACACACGCGCGCGCGCGCGCGGCCACACACATGCATGCTATGGGGATCTCTCTTTGTCAAGTGGTATCCTAGAATATAGCGAGAGACACCCAAGTATATCTGAACTTAGATGTTCCAATAAGTTATTCAATTCAAAAGGCCACAAATCCTGCCTGTATGCAATGCATTGATTGCTGCCCCCCCCCCCCCACTCACTGACGCACTGTGTATGTGTGTTTGTATGTGTATTTGTGCGTGTGTGTGTTTGTGTGTGTGTTTGTGTGTGTGTGTGTGTGTGTGTGTGTGTGTGTGTGTGTGTGTGTGTGTGTGTGTGTGTGTGTGTGCTTGTATATAAAAAGTGTTGGGTGGGGGGGGGGGGGAAGAATCAAAGAACAAGAACAAGCAAACAAGATAACAAAATACTTCGAACGGCGATGTTTGAGGTGTGATGATTAGATTCGTCCCCTTGTTCACAAAATATTCCAGTAAACTTTTCATGGATGAGCAGGTATTTTTGTCTATCGAGTATCCTCATCTTGTTAGCGGAATCTATCCCATTTACCACGAGTGGCTCAGACAGACAGGGTTATCGCAGTTTGCAATCCTAATAATAATGAATAATAATAAATAGCATTTGCATAGCGCATACCCTGCTCGACAGCAAGTTCTATGCGCTTTACACTATATTATTACCCCATCAGACCAAAGAGCACTCAGAAACATTCTCGGCTTCCCGGTAAGCATACAGTGCAAGCAGCTGATTAAGCTCTCAAACATTAACACACTGACATTTTCGCTGTCTATAGTTGGGTACCCATTCCCACTTGGGTTAAGTGAGGAAAATACCTTTCCCAAGCATATATCGTTGGATCCATGACGGGATTCGAACCCACGACCTTACGGTTGCGAGTCAGGGGAGCCTAACCACTTGGCCACCGACGCCACATCCTACATAGTTTAGATGGAAAAGATAGGGATGTACAACGTTCAATACTTATACTTACCGAAATGTTGTTACTAACATGTTTTATTTTCTTTCTCTTTCGTCTTCATAACATGTCATCAGATCCAGAAAGCCTGTAGCTCCAGCTCCAGTCCCGGTCCCAGTCCCAGCCCCAGCACCAAGGCGGGTCTACCGGCCGTTCGTACCAAACTACCGCTCGTATCAAAATCGTTACTCCATGTACAACTAGTTCACACAAGCAGGAACGACCTTGCTAGATCATTAGTGCCAACCCGCAGGACGAGGTAGACAGACAGTTTGGTGACAGCAACAGAGGTCTAAGGATTAGAATAGTATTTGTAATTTTGGAAATAAAAGCTGAGAATATCAAAGTCGGATTTCTGTGATGACTTCATTGAAAGTAATAAACGATGATGTGAAAAATTGAAATTAATTTGTTTTCTGTTTTTGCTAAAATGTATTTATTGATCAGATTATAAGCCTCATAGAGGTTCCAGGAAGCCAATGTTGAATATTGGTGCCCCCTAGCCTCATAAATAATGATGTATATTTTTATGTTGGTCACATCCCCTAAATAACATTCATTGTATTTTTCTCCGAGTTAAAATTAAACTGCTGGGATATCTCATGTCTTTGATGTTGAAAGAGAACAGGTTGCCACACGTCAGCACCCCACAGGTAGGTATCCGGGGCTGCTCTTTTGGGTAAAATATAGTCGCTCCCTTGGGGGGGTTGATAACTGCCTTTACGGACATATATGTGGATGGTTTATCTAATTGTTTAACACAATGTACAAAGTTCTAGCGGTGCGCTGTTTCAGCTGTGCCTGTCATCATCAACTAGGGCTGTGTAGTATTATATAAGTTTACTGCACTGCTTAAAAAGGGAGACCTCCAGATTGGACGTCCATGTCTAAGAGGGTTGGAACCTATGACAGCTCCCCAAACACCCGAATTTTAGGAACTCCCCATTGTAGATTTATACCAGTGCTATTAATAAGGTAGTACAGCAGGGTGTTTCCCTCGGTAAGATGCCTCTATGATCTTATTTACGTCCTTCAATCATATTTTTCTTGCATACGTCTGAATGTGCAGTCATATCAGCTTACTTTGTCGTGTCGAGGTGCTCTACGTATGGCAACGGTTTGAATTCTTTAAACAGCTCTCTTGCCAATGGATTATTAGAATATCATGGTTTTCCCACCTACTTCATTCTGCTTTATCGGACAACGTCACTATACTGCGGTCAAAAATTTGTGGCGCGACTCAGATATTATACTCTTTAATGGGTGAATCAGTGTAACCCATACTTCGCACAGCAGTTTGTATCAAAATGTGCTATTGAACGAAAAAAACTTGATATTTCTGAGAGCTTCGAAACCTCCTAGCTACTTTTAGATGTGATACACACTGATACTAAACAGATCTGATATTTAAAACGATGAGTGCTCTTTGATCAAATTTTCTATTATTTGGTTCAGAGCGAATACAACATGTAGAATGTAATTTGTAGTCGTCTAGGTTGTAAGCCTGATATCATAATCAGGGACAATTTACAGTGCACACACTCATGAACCACCTCCCCCCACCACAAAAAAGAAAAAAGAAAAACAAAACGAACCAAAAACAAAAACAAAAAGCAACGCTCCAATACAAAACAAAAACAAAAATAAAGCAATAACAACATTTAAAAAAAATCAAAAAATCAATGAGCTGAAAGAGGGAAAAGTTTCATTAACTACTCACTCATCATAACCATCACAGACATCATTGTTACGATAAAAAGTAGGAGAAAATGTCGTATGATTCATCTAAAGTCAAAGACACGAATTATGCATACTCATTATCAGCCCTCTCCTCATCTACAACAAAGAGTTCAATGTTAATAATAAATTACTGTTGAATAATATGTTATGTATGTTTGAAGTAGGTGCCTTCATCGACACAGCTAAAATCATCTAGGAGGCGGGCTTCAAACCTGCCTGTCAGGGCCAACTCGGGCTGAGAAAGATACAGTGTCCAGTAGAAAGACAGAGATACTCGACAAATGTTCCCCTCGCAGAAATCGAACTCAGGTGTTCTACGTTCTGCTACAGAGTGCCTAACCGTAACACCACAGATGACAGTCTGTTAAAGATTTGAGGACAAACAAATAAGTGCGCAAGACTACAAAAGCTGGAGACTAAATTAAACTCTAGATCAAAATTTGAAATCTCCTGTGAAATGTAATTGTAATCTTTTGGTCCATCAACAGAAACAACAGAATTGGTAGCTAAATCCAGATGTTATTAAAGAAACAGGAGACAAAAAAACCCCTCCCAAAAACAATAACAATCGATTTCGATTAAAAAACAACAACCCAGTAATGTGAGTAATTTAAGTATCTACTTCCTGAAACCACTTTGGGAGACTTTCTCAAGATGCTGAACTCTAACTGAAAATAATCCTACTGACAAAGACGACAAGAATCCTGTTTAATCCGATATTTCAAGACTGAAAGCAATTAGCCACGACGGAGAATCAAATAGCGCACACTGTGTTCTGATTGTCTCGGTTAAATAACTGTTTAAAATTGATGACAATGACAGCCGGTCTGTGACATTTGAGCGGTGGTATAAAGCGGATGACGTAAAACAACCAACACAACATTGTAATGGTCATGATGCATGTACCAGGTGCCCCTGAAAACGCCCAGTATTAGCTTGCAGGACGACGAGAGCAGCTTTTAGTTCAAGGTCTCTGTCTTATTTTTCTTCGAACTAAGAGACGTTCGAGCTCCCTCATTCCTTATTATTGAAGATTTGAAAAAAATAAAAATGAAATCGCCATCAACACAGGATCTCGTATTGAAAATCGCAGTAACAGTGCAGTAAAAAGTGCACCATGAAGCAACCCGACGAGCAGGTTTCAGCTACATTTAGATTTAATTAAAAATTTGAGAATGATAGCATGGTATAGTTTTACGCCCTTATCAACTCATTGTAGAGGTGGAGGCCTTCGTGTCGTTAATCCCTGCTTTGATTCAGCCAAGCGGGTGGGGG